AGACACAACAAAAACAATAAGACACAACAAAAACAATTAGACACAACAAAAACAATAAGACACAACAAAAACAATTAGACACAACAAAAACAATAAGACACAACAAAAACAATTAGACACAACAAAAACAATAAGACACAACAAAACAATAAGACAACAGAACAATGAGACACAACAAAAACAATTAGACACAACAAAAACAATAAGACACAACAAAACAATAAGACAACAGAACAATGAGACACAACAAAAACAATTAGACACAACAAAAACAATAAGACACAACAAAACAACACACCACACTCAAAATAAAACAACTCATAATATTACAAAACCATATAACCTAAAGTACATAACTTAAGAATTAATACCAACTAGACATAAGACAGTAGCGTCAGACGGAATGGTGAATGTTGAATGGTGTGTTATGTAGAATGCAGGGAGAAACGGTTTAGGAATTTTGAAGTGCTACATGCTAATTATCTGCAGTAGCTGATGAAAACCACGAGAAACCGCTGTCATTGTAGTCGGTGTCCGTACCGAGAATAAGGCACGAGGGATTCCAGAAACGAAGCTGGAATTTTGCCCGCTCAGTCCCCCAAACTAGGGTCTTCGTTTCCCAAGGTTTTGCTGTTTGATTTTTTTGGCTGTGGCACGTCACGTGACGTTTCACTCTCTGGGTTTAGGGAAGACGCGACTTTCCTGTGGTAAAGTTGAATTGGGTCGTTGTACGTTTTCATTCACAAATTCGAAACAAACGTGATCATTAGAATTACAGAAGCGATTGTCGGTGTTTCCTGCCAGAAATTTTGGTGCTTTCTTGGCGTTTGTGCCATGACAAGAGACGGCTTGTGCCAAACTGTAGATTGCATCCTCAAACACGTGGACTTGCGTGGTCTTAATCAATGGGCTGTGAGTAAATTATGTTTGTTTGCTGTAGAGAAGTTGCTAACACTTGTCCACTTTTCTTCATATTTTTTCCCATCCCTTTTTGACTCCTTGTGTTTTTAAGATAGTGTAGTTGCGTCATATTGTGATTTATTAAATTAAAATTAAATTATTTGGTTATTCCGTCAAATCACAATGTATTTAAAATAAGATAATTAAAATAATTAAAATATCATTCTGTGTTCCATATCGAATAATCGATTTACAATTGGAACAGTTACAACATGTTTCGGTTTTATTAAACCATCATCAGGTGTAAAATTATATTAAATTTAAAACTCAATTACAATTTTTTACAATTTTTTTCGTAGTGTAGTTTTGGAGGTCGTGTCCAGATATCTAATATAATTTTACACCTGATGATGGTTTAATAAAACCGAAACATGTTGTAACTGTTCCAATTGTAAATCGATTATTTGATATGGAACACAGAATTATATTTTAATTATTTTAATTATCCTTGTGTTTTGCATATTTTCTACTCAAACCGCAAAGTCACAACCAAGCGATTCACAATCCTTGTTCCTTATTCTGTAGGTCCTTGGTTTATATGTCGGGCCAAAGGATTTATCGTGGTTTTCCATAGTTACTCCAGGAAAGTGCCGTTTAGTGCATTAAGTTTGGTCACGATGGGTGCTTACGCTGTGTAGTCTTATAAATAGCCAATCGTTAAATAAACTTCAAATTATTTGATTAATTAAAATTGTGTAATTATTCTTGTAGTTCTTACGTGTGGTCTCATCTGCCATCCGCAAACTGTACAGTCCTGCATGTTCGACCGATCATCTTTGGATTCTCTGCTGTGTCTTTTGGTTTATTGTGGATGTAATTTGACTGTCACTTTTATGTAGCGTCATATTTTAGTTAATAAATGATTAATTGAGAAATACGTTAAATAAATCAGCTGTGTCGTGTTTTAAAGCACCGTCTCAGGGTTGGTACTGAGGAATATCTTTAAGTAAAGCTAACTTTTTTTTCCTTCCGCGGGAGGAGCTGGTGTCGACACTGTCGTGATGGAAGTCAAAACGAGTTAAACACTCGCTGAAGAAAACTGGCCAATCACGACTCGGGAAACATGGAGGCACAAAATAGAACTTCTGAAGTTACGGGTTGCTATATTTGGAGATGTAAGGTGATGAAAATGTTCTGTCCGCCATAGTCTTAATTACTCGATTTATTTACGAAGTTTTACGACGTATGCATGAGTCAAGTCATATTGGGCACTATGAGAACATTCGTTACACAGTGTTACTAGAGCGAATAAATCAAAGGTGTAAGATTGGCGGGACATGTAGATCGTGAGGGAGAGATGAAATATGCTTACACAATTTTAATCTAAAAATACGAAGAGAAGAAACTTCTCGGAACATTTTAGCATAGGTGAAATTATAATATTTTAAAGAATTTTTATGAAGTTGGTTTATAATCACAAGGGGCAAATGTACATTCCCCCATAAGAACCACATCGGTCCGAGCCTTTACTGCATGTGGGAAGACTTATCTATCGCCTGTTTCCCGTCAAAACGACATGAGTCCTGGACTCATGAATTTTTTTTACTGAACTATCTCGGCTGATTCGCTGTAAATACACCACTGAGACCCACAGTGACTTAAATATATCGCCCAAAAAGTGACAAAAGACACATAACCACATGAGTCATACTAAATACTTTCAGTGTTACGTGGGTATTTGTCAAAGTAATGTGTGTTCAAAAATGAATATCTTTTATAACTCATGGTACAAATTACGTTAGTGAACTATAACCCTATAAAAAAATAGATACTTGCCAATTATTTTTGAAGAAAAATAAATCAGGCTTAAAAATAACTTATTTTAGCTGAATTTTACTTTAAGGGTTTATTCTTTAGTTTTCTCGAAAGTGAGCTTTATGGACTCATGTGGTTTAGTGTTTACCTATTCAATTGAAGCTGGTAAGTACATTAAAATGACACAGGATCCAACACTGCCTTCTACAGAACGCACAATACATAGTTTTTGTGTGCCTTTACCATTTTTAGTGCCCTTTCTTACCATATCCTTTCACATAAAACATTCTGGTTGTAGGCCTGGAGTCTCTGCCTGTTTTAAAGCAGTCGGTTTTAAGATTTTTTCCTGTTCTATTTGTTCAGTTTACTACATCAACAAGGTAGCAACGTTGTAAGTGATTAGCTATGCATCATTTATAAGTCCAGTGCTTAATTTGTGGTGTAGCACAGTAACTTTGAATTGTTATTAAATGGGTAAAGCCCCTACAGTCTCAGTGGCGTTGTAGGTTGGAATTTAAGATGTGATAATGAAAAGTTAACTTTTGATTTTAATGTTTTGGAACTGTATAATTCACACTACAAATTAGGTACTGGGTACTACAAACAACGATGTTATATTTTTTTTTTCGGTTATTGAAATTCAGAACGAAATGTTTGTAACAGTATAGAATAACCACTGTTTCCTGTCATGGTCATTCGCTTTATAGATTTTAATACACGTCAGGGCTTCTTATATTCAACCTATAAAGCGTCGAAAGTTGAGAAAAGACCACGGATCTTATGGATTTTTTTTTTGCGGTTGAGGGAACCCCCCCCCCCAAAAAAAAAATTATGGGTGAGGAAAGAAGGAAGACAGGACAATACATTTCGTTCCATACTTTAATATATCGTGAGATGGGTACATAAAAATAATATAAGCTTAATTTTCAAAACACCATTCACATAAACCATTCAATGAACGAAGTGGACTCTGAATTTTTAAATACTTTTTTTTTAATATGTGTAACAGCGTTGAATTCTTCAAATAACCACAGTATTAGGACAGTAAAGTTTTTTTTCGGAACACACTGTGACCCACTTACAACGTTGTTACTTTGGAATTCAGGATTGTCAGTTTTCCTTCCGATGTCTTCAGCCTCGTGTGTGTTGTCCTTTTGCAGGGTACACTCACAACCCATACAACGGAGTCATTTGCAACGACACTATATTAGCTACCGGAGTCTTCTCGTCCAAAGAACTGTGGAGACTTGCTAAAGGTACGTAGTGTGTCGAGTTGATATGGCCCTGTCATGTTGTTCTTCGTGATTTTATGGGGTGAGACTGTGCTCATGTGGAACTGAGCCTTCGTGTTACTTTTGTATTAAAGCTAAAAAATGTTCAGCCAAATAAGTAATCTTTAAAATTTGGTGGTTGACTTCGTACACATCCCCAGAAATAATATCAAAACATTATTTGAATTTCTTCTTTCGAATGGAGCTTTCTAATATCCTAAACACTTTCTACGGTCTGTGGTGATGATATTACACCATTCCATCGTTGTTAGCAAGGATCTAACTTACAAAGTCAGAACTGTTAGTGGGTGTTAGAAAAGTGTAGTTTCCAGAATCTTAATTCTTTTCTGACAGATTGAACTCCGCCTGTATAATTTTTGTTTCCTTATTCGGGGTGAAGGGAAGGAAAGTAAGGCAGGTTTGTAGTTGATTCAAGTTATCGGTATCATATTTTTTTTTAACAAAACAGGTTAATTCTCAAATTGTTAAGCAGGGAAGATGCATATATAAATATTATCAATTAAAATTAGATCGCACTTTCCTGGCAGAAATTTGAAAAACCACACAACACGGCACAAGAAATGAAATTGTGAGTTGGTCTGCCCTGGTGTAATGGACTTTCCCCATCCTCCCTCATGACACCCGATTCAAGGTCATCCTTGTTGCTAGGCCGCCGCTCATGCTAGTTGCGCAGAAGTTGTGTAGGTTCAAACATGGTGTAATCACGAGCAGAACGTGTGGTCAGACTTTTTTGTTTTTTGACAGGTGTTCGAAATGTTGTCCGTCTTGGGATATACTTGCCAGATTTCTTTAATTTTTCGTTTATCCCATACCTTGTTCCATGTCCTCATTTCTGAACATGACTGTACTCAATTGCAGTGTTTTTAAAAACGCTGCACAGAATGAAACAAATATCTTAAACGTCGCTAAACTTCTACCAGGCCTTAATTTGTAGATCTCGTTGTCAAAATGGTGGGGCAAGTCTGTGAAATTGCGCTCGAAACTGATAGAATATTATACAGTATACTTCTCACGATATTAAAGTAAAACCGTGGATAGCGAGAGCGCGTATAACGAGTCACCTGTCATCTCGTTTGTGCGTGTCACATGGCCTGACTATCCCATCCTCCATACTCTGATACGTCTAATATCTGCTGAAGAATGCAAATTGCGAAGTTCCTCTGTGTCCAGTTAATGTTTTCGTGTTATATTTCTTTACGTATTGGGTAGGATATGAGAGGACAAAACATTTTGAAATTTTAGGTGACAAGCGAGAATTATGTGAATTGTGGCTTAGAAATAATTTTATGACACAATTTTGATAGCAGATCTACTGTTCTACAGATGATTTCTCATTAATAACCAGAATGTTGGATGGGTTATAAAATGGTTAACATTTCCTTTGTGCTTGTCCGGCGGTGAAACTAGAGTAGGAATGAAGCTGTTGACCTCAGCAAACATTCTGGTTTCTCCCCCCCCCCCCTTCC